GTTAGGTTGGGAGTTTCAAACAGCACAAGGGCCATAAAACTGTTGCTGAAGTGATTTATACATGGTATGAATGGAAAGCATATCAATCTGAGGAAATACAAAGAAAGCAGATTGTTGAATGTGAGTCCAGTGAAAATGTAACTTTTAGGAGGGTTGAATATTATTGGAGACAAGTGGGAAACACAAAACATGGTGCTGGCAAGCTAAAGTGTGGTCATCTTGTGTAAGCCGTGTTTTTCTTCCTGACAGTTACACATGGAAATATTGATGTGAAGCTGTCTCTTTCCCACAACAAGAATGTTCTCACTACAGAGAGAGTTTGGCTAAACCCAGAAACTTTGACTGAAATTAGAGTTGTAAAAGTCTAGCTTCAAGTCTAGCCATATTCTACCCTACGAGCATGCAGCAAGTGCATACAAACTAAAAGTAGAACAGATGAAGGAGAAAAAAAGTCAAGAAAAAGATCAATAATGACAAAAAAACAAATAAAACAATTAGACAAACAGAAAATGGATGTTGAGGCTGCTCAAAAGATCACAGAAGACAAGGAAAAATATAAAAGGAAAAAAGGAGAACTGTCTCCAAAGGAAACAAATATTTAAAGGATAGAAAATATCTGAAAGTTGTTAGCAGAGGGCAGTGCATGTCTGTTCGAAGCACTTGCAGCAAAAGGCTTTAGAGAAACAAGTGTAGCCCAAATCATGCTGGATAATGCTTGTAAGAAAATGATTGATGCTCAGAAGATGCTAGATGAATGCAGAAAGATGAAAAAAGCAATAATTCACAAGAAGAAAATGAACCTTGACCAATATGAACAGGCATTTGCCAAGAAAATTATTATACCCTAATATGCTACTTGCTTTTTTTTTTAATAGTGCCACTTGCACTACACATTTCATGCAGTAGCTTCATGTATATGCATTGTGTTGAATATATTCCTGTATCTGTATGGCATGCTTAGACTCATGGTCATTAACCTTTTTGACACCAGGGACCAACACACTGCCTCTAAACTTTTGCAGACCATTGAAATGCAAGTTCAATGAAAAAAGGGTGTGATTCGCACTTACATATGAATATTATTTCAGTTTTTGTGAAATCCCACAGACTGGCAAGGTGGCTGTGATGGATGGTGATTGAGTAACACTGGAGTAGCTGACTTTAGAAATACATATATGTGGAATAGTATATTTTTGTGAGACTTAATATACTGCCCATTGGTGTTATTAGAGATTAATATGTGTATGTTCCTAATCATAAATAATGTTTTTTACAAATGGTAAATGTTATTTCATGTTGTGTTAGTTGTCTTTAATTTGTGCTTGGCTACATGCATGTGATAATAGTGCTTTTAACCATGGAATTATGGTATCAGTTGCTGGCTTAGTAGTGCTTTAGTAGTTGCATATTGTATGTTTAACATTATTTTAGTATAACATTCTGAGGATTGGAAATGTTGCAAGTGATTACTGGTGAGATAACTGTCATGATATTATACCCTAATATGCACATTTAATGCAGTAACTTGATGTGTATGCATTGTGTTGAATTGATGCCTGTATCTGTATGGCATGCTTAGCTTAATGGTCATTAAATAATAAACATAATGCTTTATATGTGTATTGGAAAACAAGAAACTCATCTTGATTGGTAAAAGATAGTGCTTTTCACTGTATTAGCAATCATTACAGTTAATGAATACTCTAGAGTCAATAATTGTCATTTTATACTGCATGAGGTAAAACATGCAACCATCTAAAAATAAAAAAATTAAAATTCAGAAGAAACTATTCAAATTCAGGTTTCTTTAAAAAAAAGTATATATATATATATATATATGTTTCAGTGCATTTCTTAATGTTTTAATGGCTATGCCAAAGTAAGTAATTGTATAAACTTATGCTAGTAAGTTTCTTACAAAACATAAATTTTCCCTAATAAAGAACCTACTAAAATCTCTCTATTTCTGATGGGCCTGTTGAAAGCCCTGAGTTTGAGGTAAATAACATCCACAATCTGCTTTGATGAGCACTTGACTTTGACCCTGAAATTTTATGGAATACACCAAAACATGGCACACTTTTTCTCAAGATATATTCTTCCAAAACTTTTGAAAATTAGCATATATGTCAATAATCCATATGTTGGACTGGCTTATAAGAGAGAGAAATTCTTAAAGAATTACATGACCATGAAATTGCATAATATGTAAGTCTACAAGAATTTAGTTCCCAAAAGTTTCCTATTTTGTCTTGTTACAATTTCACCGAAAATATCTTGCCCACGAAAATGCGTAAAAAGTTTGTAACTGCTGGACCTTAGAAGTTGTAAAGTTTCAACATGATTGCAACTTGTGTTCTGCATAAATTCAGTGAATTTCTTAGATTAAGATAGTATTTTCTATGGAATTGGAAACTTGTTAAAAAAATATCTAAAAAATTTCTTAGGTATTGTTTTATAACTTTTATAAACTGCCATTGCATAATTTGTACAAAGTGCATTCTGTGTAATTCTGATATTTTATGTACTGTTTTGTAGACCTGCATATTTGGTATTAAACCCAAAATTTAAAAGGACAATGAGTTACAGTATTGAGATTAAATCCCCTATTACAGTAATGGAAGTATATTATCAAAAGGATTCTTGAAAGATGTAAAGTACAGATATCTGGAACACTGGGGATTAGTAAATTAAAATTGAAGATTTTAAATGTCATCTGTAGAATTGTGCAACAATATATTTTAGAGTTGAAAAGGTGTACATATGTTTGACACTGATAAATAGCTAACATTGGCCATTCATTTCATATTCCACCAAAAATGCATAACATAACAAAGCAATCTCTTTAGAAAGTTTGAATAAATGAGTGTACAAAGTACTTTCCTGTACAACCTTTTGCAAAATTTACTAGGAAGATTTAAAAGTGTTGCTTGATTGATGTATAGACAAGTTGCAAGCATTTGTCCCTGTTTATGCAAAAGGTAAATTGTTATGCCATTCTGTTATACTTTTGTAAACATAAGTTCTACCAGTTTCAACTTCTCCAAAATTCTGAGCAATGACTCGATGAATTTGTATTGGATTGGTCTTATTATTACTCAATTTTTTCAACATTTTATAAGCTTTGAGGTTTCAAATCATGGTAATATATTAAATAGAAGACCATCATCCTGGTGGCTTAGCAGTAAGTCTAGGGGCTTAGTTTATAAATTGGGTTTCAGTACCCAAGATGGGCAGAGTACAGATAGGCAGTTGTATAGTTTTGTGTTTAAGAAAAAATTTAATGGAAAAACCTGCAAATTAGTTGTTACATATACTTACAGATTATTCTGTACAGTAGCTAGGCTTCTTGTTTTAGTTGTTACATATACTTACAGATTATCCTGTACAGTAGCTAGGCTTCTTGTTTTAGTTGTTACATATACTTACAGATTATCCTGTACAGTAGCTAGGCTTCTTGTTTTAGTTGTTACGTATACTTACAGATTATCCTGTACAGTAGATAGGCTTCTTGTTTTAGTTGTTACATATACTTACAGATTATCCTGTACAGTAGCTAGGCTTCTTGTTTTAGTTGTTACATATACTTACAGATTATCCTGTACAGTAG